GAGGAAGAAGAACAGACAAGCAAACACAGGAAAAAGAAAATAAGTAATATAAATTAGAAGCAAGAGATGAAGAAGAATTACGAAATAGAGGGCGAGCTGGAAAATGAAGAAGAGAGGGTCGAGTATGTTTTCAAAGTGGTGGTGATTGGCGACTCGGCGGTCGGAAAAACCCAGCTTTTGTCGAGGTTCGCGAAGAACGAGTTCTGCCTAGACTCAAAGTCCACAATTGGGGTTGAGTTTCAGACAAGAACTCTCAAAATCAACAACAAGGTTATCAAGGCTCAGATCTGGGACACTGCCGGCCAGGAAAGGTCAGTGCTTCTCTTTTTTCATCTTATCCTTTTTTCTTAATTTTAGACTTTTCATTCCAGTTGGGATTGTTTACTTGATTTTGTACAATAGTTTTATATTGTTTTTTACCATGTGCATTTTAATAGTTTTGTACTAATACTAGAAAATAAGTATAATTTAAGGAGATATGTTATGTTACACGTATATCATTATTTAAACTGTGAGTAATATGATTGACTAAAATACAACTAAATGCTTAATTATTTATATTAAGATTATTTTATTTATTAGAAGATAACTATAATATATTCAAAAAATATTTTTTTTAATCCTGGAGATTATAAGAAAAAAAATTTATGTAACTTCAATAATTTTATATTTTTATGTTATTTGAACTAGTTATGTTATTTTATTTCGATTGATGCATATTTTACTTTTTTTTAACGCACACACATATATATATATATATATTTGTAAAATAAAAAATATTTATACAACATCAATAAATTATAAATTTATTGGTGTGTATTAGTAAACAATTTGTCAAATCAATACACCTGCATAAATTAACACAAAGAAAAGAATAATAAAATAAATAAAAAAAATCTGGAGTTGGTGCAGTAAAACGCGGCGTTGCACTGTACAAAACATCAAAGTAGCGTAAGAAAATTGGGCCCACTTTGGAGTAGATTTAGGCCAGATTTGTGGTGTTTTACACGACTCCAACGCTGCAGTGAAGTTGCTGTAGTTGTTGGAAAAAAAATTACATTTTTGCATGACAACTTACATTTTGAGTTTGATGAAGAGATTTATGATTGGTGTGATAACCACTTGCTATCTATTACCAAAAAGAGAAAAAAAAAAAAATACAAAGTAAAAGATCAAGAATAAGAAAAATATGAAGAATTTAAGGGTGCTTGGTAAATTTTGGACAATATCAATCACTATATAAGTATAGTTTTGACCCTACACAATGTTTTAAAACATGCCCGTAATTGAACCAAGGTGACTCCGAGTTAAACAGTTGCTTGATTGCTGAATCGGGAAAATTAAATTTATTTAAAATTTATATTTTTTAAATTAAGTTATATTATTTTATCTTATAATTATATATAACAAACACAAAAATAAATAGTCTAGTATTGCGCCTCAAAGTTTTTAAATAGTTATATCTCGTTATAAATATTTACTACATAAATATATATCTATAATTTTTAAATATGAATAATGTTTGAAAAACTAAAAAAAAATAATAATGGCCATTTCATAATAGATTCATAATGGATTTATCTGGTCGGGTCAACTTCTAGATCGAAAATAATTGAGCGAAACGGGATCGAAAATTCAAAATTTTAATTTAAAAATTTCGGGTACTAAATCGGGCGGACCTGGCTCTTGTTGCTTTGTTGATAGGATTTTTGTCTTAGTTTTGTTTAGTGGCTTCTGGCTTTTGATGTAGATAGTTAGATTAGCCTTTTTCAGCTCTTTGTTTATTGGCTTCTTATCCCATGGTGCTATAAACCCAGGATGGATCTGCTGTAATTATTTACAGTTTGGGNAAAAGGAATATGAAATTAAACAAATTAATCGTCATCAAATTATTGAATAATTTTATTTAAAAAAATCAGTAGGTTAGGTCTCAATAATATAACGATTCTCACATTTTTGTACTAATTAAACAAAAAAATCAGGTACAGGGCCGTGACAAGCGCGTACTACAGGGGCGCACTCGGGGCAATGATTGTCTACGACGTCACCAAAAGAGCAACGTTCGACCACGTGGCCCGGTGGGTCGAGGAGCTGCGGGCCCACGCGGACAACTCGATCGTTATCATGCTGGTCGGCAACAAGGCTGACCTGGCCGACTCCCGAGCAGTTCCCACAGAGGATGCCATCGAGTTTGCCGAGAATCAGGGGCTCTACTTCTTCGAGGCCTCGGCCCTGAGTGGCGAGAACGTGGGGCCCGCATTCTTCAAGCTGCTCGAGGAGATTCACGGTGTGGTCTCAAGGAAGGCTTTGGACAGCAGCAATGTCGTGAAGCCCGACCGAGGTAATTTGGTCAACGGAATGAAAATCGATGCGATTTCGGGTGCTGATTTCGAGGTTAGTGAGATGAAGAAGTTGTCAACATGTTCTTGTTGAGAATTATTGGGTTATTTCTTTATGGGTTTTGATTGTGAGGAGAATTAATGAGGCTGTAAAGTGACTTTAGCATGGGTTTGCCATGTGGAGTGGTTGGAGAATATATGTATATGATGATGAGGATTATATTAAGTTGTCCTTGTTATGTTTTCGGTGTAATTAACAAATTAATTAATTAATTATCATATGGTTTGGCCATTTGTGGGAAGATTTATTTTGTCATCATTTTTTTCCCGCGGCTGCATTACAACCATTTAATTATTTCTTTCTTTTTGTTTTAGTTCTACAACATATCTTTTTGTTCAAGCTTTCTAAGGTCCCATATCTACTCTATTTTGTTTTTCGTTTTGATATTCTTCTTGTTTGGCTCTTATTTTTCTTTCTTTAAATAATTACACTTCAATGGCTAGCAACCGTACTAGATTATGCATGCACTATGTCGTACTTTTTCCTTGGGTTCAGATGTTCGTGGTGCGGCAGAGATGATGAGAATAAGTTATGGCCCTTAAATGTATTATGAATTGGTTTCTCATGTTCAGACATTATTGAAGACCGATTCTTGTAATTTTGAGTATATATTGTGGGCAACATTAGGTGGAAGGGATCGCGTTATGAAGATGAAAATCGAATCCAATGACAATATCGGAGAGCTGTTTCAAGCACAAATTAAGTAGTCCCAACATTTACGTCGAATTGGAGCAACAACTAAATGTAGGCATTCCGGAGAGGGGTAACAAAGCTTCTAGCAAATAATAGCGTCCCATGGTGTATTTTCAAATTGTTTTGGTGTCGGTATTTCTGTAATTTCCCACGAGACCCCACATTCATTTCAAGTAGGCGACTCTTTTCATCTAACAGCCCCTAGCTAGTTCATTTACACATACTCGATCATACCTTAGTTCATTTCCTCGGGGCGGTGATGATCAAACTGTTGGGTTCGAGATGTCAGTTATTATTTGCTAATTGAATTCTCTATAAAATTAATCATAAGCGCAATGGATCTAAAGATTAGGATCAAGATCTTACTTGTTATTAATGCTGACTGATCTAACTTATTATTAATGCTAACTCACATACGACTTACGCGGTTTATGGGGTCGGACAAACAGTTCTGACTCTTCGCCCTTCTGTATCTCAAAGTCTTCTGTTATATTTCTCCCCCTCAGTTCGGTGTCGTGTGGGCGACGATTTCCCAAACACATGTGGCCGGCCTTTCCTTTTTAATAATGCTAAAATAAATTAATCATGGGCTAAATTAACTTAAATTATTTATTTTTTCTTAATTATATATCAAAGAAGGAAAAAATAAATTGGCCCTGGGCTACAGCCCAGCCATGGGTTGTCTACGTCCAGTATGGTTTTGGATTGATTTAAACTAGCAAATAAAAGATCAGGGTTTAACCTCTAATACAGTTGTTTTAGATCAAGAGAAAATTACCCTAAGAAATTTTATATATACTAATATAATATTTTATTAGCAAACATATAAAATCGGATAGAAATATTTGTATATATACAAGATTTACATCTATTTATCCTACCTTTTTTAAAGATAATTAAAAAGAAGTTTTTTTTACTTGATAATTGCCCGGATTTAATGGGATTTTACTTTTGTAACTTCCCACAATTCTACTTTATACATCTCTCTAAAATCCTCCAAATCTCACGCCACCTCAAATTTCTCCATTCTTCTTCATTCTTTAATTTCTCCATTCCTCTTCGCTAGTGAGAATCCCGTGCGATGCACGGGGTTTCCGTACTTTAGAATTTTTTTTTTTAAATTTTATTTTCACAATATATTAGCATGCTGACCCGTTTATATTATTATAAATAATATTTTAACATATATATTTATTTTTTAATACAAAATAATAATAATTTTACATATTTTGGTTCATCATAAAACTCAATTATTAATCTATCAAAAAATCTATTATCATATAATGTCATTATTATTTATAACACTTGTAGAAGTAATACATTTGTTATATAATGATAAATATGTAATGTATATTAATATTATTTATTGATGTAATTAATTTAAAAAGATATAAGCAAATTTAATGTTTGGTAGGAATATGATTATATGTAACCTGAGATAAAATGAAATGTATCAAAAAATTCTGCTTATGATATTTTCCTTTAAATGTTTGAATGAATCTGAAATTTAAGTTACAAATCAACCTCCAGTTATTCAAATTATTTTAAAAAAGTTACAAATTATAGTAAAATGTACGTGACAATATATTATAAATATACATGACGTCAGTAATGTTATGGATCTTTAGGTTCCTAAAATATATATTGTTTAGATATGAAACTAATTAACTTATATGTTAAGATAATATATATAAATATATACGTGACAAGTTATTATATTTGTTTCTGTTGTTTATTATATCTGTATATAAATATATTGTTTATATATTTGTCTGTATTGTACGGAAAATTGTTATATTTGTTTATATATTGTTTAGATATGAAACTAATTAACCTATATGTTAAGATAACATATAAAAATATGTATTGTATGTAATCTTAAACGTGTTTGCTAAATTTTTCCCCTAAAAAATTCAAAATATATTTAGGCATGTTTTGTTTGAAGTTCGAAATTTAAATATGCATCTATATAACAAATCACATGATTTATGCTAGCATTAAATGCTACTTGTTTTTTTATTAAAAAAATTAAAAAAACATACAAAAAATGGAATGCAATTAATATTCCCTATTTTTTTGCTTACTATTTTTTAAAAATGTTAATTCTTATTATATATATATAGATTCCTTTACCATTGACGTCATTATTTCAATTTGAAGGTTTAACTTTTACCCATTCCTCTTCGACGAGAAAAAATGCAAGCACATAAAATGGTGAACGTGGATCCCCCACTTCGGAAGCAACCTAGTTTCATGACGGCCGGTGACTAGCTCAGCCCAACGGCGGCGTAGCTACATCGATGAGATTAACGGTGGCAGGTTTCCCTCCCAAGTGGCGGAAACCGACGTACAGAGGGTTAAGTCGGAGACTAATGTAGGAAGACGGCGGCTCAGACTGTTCGAGCTCGAGCTATTGTAATTTGTTATCGAGTCGAGCTCGAGCCTCATAAATCGAGCTCGAGTAGCTAAAAGAAAAAATCAATTCTGCTGGATAAGGCCAATGCTCGACTCGGTTCGACTCGTTTGCCAGGGGCGGAGCTATATATGGCCTAGGGTGGGCCTAGGCCCACACTCAAATAAAAAAAATTATGACTTAATAACCCTAAAAACTTATGAAATAGTTTAATACAAAGAAAAACAATTTACATTAAAAAACGATAAGGAACACAAAATAGGAAAGCAAGGAGATAATTGAAAAATAAAATCTTGTTCTCATTCATTTTGGTGATAGTAAAGTCCAACCCTTCTATTATTAGGTTTTACAGAAAAATTAAAAACTTATTGGTACTTTTTAGCATTTTTGTAGTTAATTAATTATTGTTTCTTAATCATCAGAAAGACTAATATTGTATATTTAATATGTGTGTGATTGATAACTTAAGTTGTACGACTCTTTAAAAATCTGATATATTAGATAAAACATATTACACATTATAATTTATTTTATATGTCAGATTATGAAGAAGTATTTCCAGAAAATGCCTCGAAAAAAAAGTGCATGTGAAAATATATCAAAATGAGCTACGTTAAGTTCAAATATACTTGAGTTGAATTCTAATATTGTTGGGCTAAAAAAAAATAGAATCAGAAGTTCAATGATATTATATGTAACGATATCTAAAAATACATTAAAAACAATTAGGCCCCTCTCATTTTTTTACCTAGGTCCGCCCCTGTCGTTTGCAGCCCTAGATTATACCCATTATTACTGTTAGATGGAAAATTATTTCTTGTTTTTCTCTTAGATTCACAGTTCTAAGGCTGCGGATTTTATGTATTTATGTATTCTTGTCCGCTGGAGAATTTTATATAGGTCAACTCTTGTACAGGAGGACGTCACAGTATTATTTAGTACATCACAATATTATTCGATACATATTGTGTTTATAGTCTATATATATTCAGTATATATTGCGTTTTTATTTACATACTATTTATTTAACCAGGTTTATAGTATGATTATTTACATAACATTTATCTGGCTTAGAAAAAAGAATAAAAATGAATGACAAAAATGACCATGGCGGCAATTATAAGAAAAAAAAAAAGTCAAGGCTTAAGATGAGTGTCAAATCTATTACATGAGGGCATCACAATATTTTTCAGTATATATTGTGTTTATAGTATGTATATTTTCATATATGTTGCGTGTTTATTTACATACTATTTATCTAACCAAGTTTATAATCTGAATATTTACGTACCATTTGTCCGACTAAGAAAAAAGAAGAACAATGAATGATAATAAAACCGGCCAGGTTGGGAATTATAAGAAAAAGAGGTCAAGGTTTAACGACGAGCGATAAAATCTCGTGGAAGACGAGCATCAAAAGAATTTTAGTATATGTTGCTTTTATAGCCAGTATGTTTTCATTATACGTTACGTTTTTATTTACACAATATTTATCCACGCTGCTGCCTCCAATTTCAACTCAAACATCACTATCATCCATTTCTCCCTCCTCCCGCCTCCGCCAAACTCGTCGGCTACATGGACGAGAAAATTGTTGGCTTGCAAATCAAGTTTTACTTCCTCTGGATCGGCTACCTCGATCCCGACCCCTCCACCAACCTCTCCGACGACCTTTAATTTCGACGATGGATAGAGTCCGTCGTCCGCTCCTAATAGGCGTCGTACACTAATATGAGAGAGAGAGAGAGATTTTGGGACTGGGTTTCTAATTATGGTAAACTAATTAAAGATGAGAGAGATAGCATTCAATTATAGAAGATAATTATAGAAGGTGAGACAAACATACCATATCATGGTAGATATGTAAATGATACTTAGATCAAACCTTGCCTAATAGGGCCAAACTAAATAGGTAATGGTCGTGGCATCCATGAGCCTGAGATAAAGTTTAGCTACTGTGCTAAAATCCCAACATACATTAATTTATTTCTTGGAAAGCTTAATATAATTGACTTTCATCTAAAATGCCAGTTATATTTGAAAAACCAATAAAGTTAATTGACATTATTTATTTGTGATTGTAGCGAGTATAATAAACGTAAACCAGAACCAATATTCTATTCTTTTAGACTAGTGAGTGGCCCGTGCGATGCACGGGAAAAAAAAAATATTACGATTGTATTATAAATTAAATATATAAATAACATTAATCATGATTTATCCATTATTTTTAAATTAAATCGAGTTAGACACAGTCCGACCGGATGGACCGAGAACCGGTTTATAACCAGTCTAGTTCGCTTGAATAAAATATTTGCTCTCGAATCCGTCACCACTAGTCGGTTGGACTGATAGGATCGATAAGATTTTCTAAATAAATTTTATTATATTTAAAAATATTTTAAATAAAATTACATATTTAAATAAAATAGAGATTTATAAATTATTTATCAATTAGTTTAAACATTTCAAAAAATTAAGATTAATTGATTGATTATGCAATTTAAAGAATATTTTTAGCGTTCAATTTTTTTTTAAGCACAAATATAAAGACCGAGATTCAAAAACTTTTGTTATATTTTGAATTGAGATTTTATAAATATAGAGACCGAGATTTAATATTGTTTGTTGTTTCTAAGAAAAAAATAAAAATAAAAACATACACACTTAATAAATCTTAGCCGAATTTTTTAAATAATAAAATGAACTAAAGCCCGAAATTTAAGGTAGCATTTAATGTTGTATGATTTTTAAAGAAAAAAATAAGAAAAATAATAAAACTTACTATTTATAGGCTGCATTAAACTATTAACCTATTTTTTTGCTACTATTTTTAGTAAATGTTAATTTTTATTATATATATATTTTCTTTGTCAAATTAGTTTGTGATACAAGGCCGAGGTCATTAGGTTTGTTGATGTTATTTCAACTCTGCTGGTGTATTATGCATAAGTAGTCATTAGCCAATATGTGGAGTGTAATCCGATAGATCCCCTCTTTTCATATGGGAAAAATCATTAATTAGTGGAAATATATATATATATATATATATATATATAACTGATATTTAACCCTCACATTATAAACACAGCGGAATAACATCATGTGAAGCGTTGACAAAGAGAGAAGGAAATATCCAAAGTCTACAACATCACATTCACAAATATTAAAGGAAAATGAGGCACATCACATATATTTTTATTACTACAAACATATTTATAGACTATATTGTGTATCACAATCCAGCCAGGCAGTCTAAACCTCCTGGTATTATTTAATTTATCTTTCCATCACTCTTAGCTGTTTATTTCATTTATTTTGTTTGAACAGTGATAGTGAAAACTATACACCAGCACGCCTTGGTCGGACCTTGACCACAAGCGGGTTAGCCATTTCACAGGACAACTTCAATACCTCGGACAAGTCAACATCGCCCAGAAATTGAAATTGGTGTAAGAGCGTAGCCACCCAAAAGGTAACGGTAGTGATGGCCAGTGTTTTGGCGGGACATGACCTGCGGCCTGACCCAAAAGGTGCGATCCTCAAATCGGAGCCTAAGAGCGAGAACTGTTCAGCAATTGGAGTTTGGGCCAGAAACCTGTCTGGATTGAATGTGAGTGGGTCGGCCCAAACTTTGGGATCTCTCATGATGGCCCACATATTGACGATGGCGGTGGTGGCAGAGGGCACGTGATGTCCGTCGACTATAGCATCTGTTATTGAAAGGCGAGACCATGAGAGAAGTGGGCCCGGGGGATGCATCCTCAGCACTTCTTTCACTACTGCCGTTAAGTAAACAAGCTCCGTCAGATGCGATTCCGTTACCACACCTGATCGGCCCACCACCTGGTCTAGCTCACCATGGACCTTCAGCTGAACATCAGGGTGCAATACTAATCTTGCCAATATCCACTCTATTACAACTGCCACTGTGTCTGTACCCCTGAATATCATTTCCTGCATGCAATAGCAATTAGCAATATTAATTAATTAATTAATTAATTATAGTAATCAACTCAGTTGTACCAAAAAATCATCCAATCCTTACCCAAAGCACCGAGATCATGTCAGAATCCGACAATCTATCAGCCCCTTTAAGCGACAGCAGAACATCCACGAAATCGCCGCCGCTGCATTTCTCCAGCTTTTTGTGCTCTGCGATTATCTGACCCACAAACCGGTTCACCCGGGGAACGATCCGGCTGCACCTGAACCGGATCCTCTGCAGATCCAAATCTGCCACAAAGGGAATATGAATATGATCCGACCAATTCAATTTCCCCAGCAAATCGTACCCTTCATCCACCAAATCCCTAAGCTCCTCTGTTTCCGGGTTGACCGACCCGAGTCCGTAACTCCTCCCGAAAACGGACCACATCATGTTGTTCAGCGATGCAAGTTTCAGCACGTCCCGGACTCGGAACCCTGCTGGCGAGCGGGCCGACCCGGCCAGCACCCCCACGAGCTGGCTCGCTATCTCCGCGCGCTTCTGCTCGGAGGCCCGGATCTGGCGCGGGCAGAACAGGTGGGCGGCCGAGATCCGCCGGAGAGCCGCCCAGTAGGCGCCGTACGGTGCGAATCCGATGGAGCGGTTGAACATGAGGCGGTAGGCGGACTCCTTGGCCGGGCGGTCGCAGAAGGCCGGGCTGTTGAGGATATCTTTAGCCACCTCCGGGTCGCCCGTGACGATGACGCGTGTTTGGCCCAGGCTGAAGGACATGAGACGATGGGCCTTGTGGGCCTGGGCCGCTGCTGCTATGTGGCGGTGGGCCAGACCGGACATGAGGCCCATGCTGCCTATGAGTGGGAGTCCCCGTGGGCCTGGGATTGGTGGTGATGTTTTAGGCTTAAGGGTCCATTTGTGCTTGCCCCAAGCAGGGCCGCCAGGGTGGGCCCAGAAGGTGAGGTGGAGGATGAGGCAGGAGAGCAGGAAGAGGAATGCCAGGATTATGGTGTTTTGGGGAGTGAGGGATTCGCATTTGGAAATCAGAGCTAAAAGCCAGAGACTCTCCACTTTCGTTTTTATCATTTTCGGCAGAAGAAACAAGTAAAATTCAGATATGGGATTTATTACAAATTTTTTTTTTAATTATTTTATTTTTCTTCAAAAAAAGAGAGAGCTTGATTGATGCGATGCAAGTAAGGGGATATCATGCATGGAATATATAGAGAGGGAAGCCTGTCAAAAGGATGCTGACGGGAGATTTAGCCCGTAGTTAGAGATCCTGCCCCTTAGGTTTAGTTTAATTATAAAAGAAGGCCAAATATCTTATAAAATTAATAAGAATACCACCATCTGACTTACTGAATAAATCTTTACCCAACTTCCTTTGCTGTACCCAACTGTTCGATCATAAGTGATTAAAAATGTTTTTTTTTAAAGAAAAGTGATTAAGAATGTTGTACAGCTACAGTGATAAGCTGGCGCGGCCAAAATTAAATGACCAAAATCAGGTTCACCGGACTGAATCGGCCAAGGAAAGACTAATTAAGGGCAAGTTCAATGAACTAATGGTTCCGGTTCAGAACAGTCCGGCGTTTCAAGGCTGGTTCAAGAAATTAAGGTAATATAAAATAAAAAAATAATAAAAAATCAATAATAAAAAATAAAAATTCAATTTTCAAATTAAAATTTCAGCGTCAAGAAACCGATTCCAGAACCTGAACCGACATTTTTAACTTTTTTTAGAAAAACATGAACCTGAACTTGTCCAGGTAAAACATAGGCCGATTCAAGACCCACTGTCAACGATTTTGACAGTGCCAGTTCCGGGCAGGTTCGTCTCGCTAGTCCAAACCATGCCCACCTCTACAACCGAAAAAAATTAATAGGGAATAGGAGAGGTTACAAATTGGGGTTGAATTGCGTGGTGATTAAGGTTTAAGTCACTTATAAAAGGAGCATTACTTAAGAGTCCTTTGTAGCAATGGCACTACTTTTGACTATAAAGTTGTATTGTATTTGGTGAGGTGATTGGAGTACTTGATAGTAGGGCTGAGCACGGGTCTTGGAGATTACCGAACCGTACCGAATTTAACCCGAATCGAAAAATATCCGTTGACCGTTTGACTATCTCCGAACCGAAAAGTACTGAAATTTTTTTGGTACGGTTCTGGAGATTCCTAAAATATCCATACCGAGAACCGGACCGAACGGAAAATAACCGTACCGAACCGAAGAACCGAACAAGAACCGATTCCAATTCATAAAATCCATATATATATATATATATATATATATATATATATATTATCATATGTGTTTATTTCATCTTTGTACATAATTGTATTCAAATAAAATCTATTACAATTCATATGTACTGTACATAATTGAAAAGAAAAATAAATTAATATATTCTTCCTATTACAAAATTTGATAGCCAACATGTCAAATATTTTATTAAGAAAATCATTAAATATAACTTAATATAATTTGAATCCCGAATGTTTGGGAAACCGACCTTTATGAAGTAAGTCTTTCACAAAACTTGGAGAAAAATTATTTATTTAAAGGTGATATATTCTAAAATAAAAATAAATTGAAATATATCTTTACCATAATATTAGATTAAGAACGGATATATCAATTATTTTATCAATAAAATTAAATATCTTCACTTTTTGAAAACAAACTTTATATGTACTATATCCGAATCTCACAATATCTGCCGAAAGAGATTAATTTATTTGAACATAATATATTTACAAAATATTCTTTTATTTAACAAGTAACCATCTTTAAATTGACTATTATTGTTCATGTATGTCTTATCACTTGCGGATTTTTTGGCATATAAACGTTTAGCATATAAATCTTTCAAATAAAATTATGATATTTTGCAACTAAAAGATAATTATCACTTTTTTATAAAATAAAAAAAATTTAATCACCTATTCTTACTATTAATTGATGAAATATCTTTTGAAATTAAGAGAGGTTTATGAGTTCAACCATGATATGTACCATCTAACATGCAATTAGGATAATTTTTTTAAAAAATAATAAAAAAAAAAACAAAAAAAAAATTAAAAAAAANAATTTTTTTAAAAAATAATAAAAAAAAAAACAAAAAAAAAAATTAAAAAAATAAAAAAATAAAAAAACTTAAAAAATCTCTGAAATCTCCGATCCGTACCGAACCGACCCATTAGAACCGAATCTCCGTTCGGTTCGGAACGGAGATTTGTTAGAACCGGTTCAGTTTCGAAGATCCAGTTTTTAGAATCTCCGAAGTTCGGTTCAGTTCTGGAGATTTCTGGATCTCCGAATCGAACCGACCCGTGCTCAGCCCTACTTGATAGGGTTGATATATGATAGTTACTACTACTTGGCTACCGCATGCTGAATAATCTTAAGGGCACACATCTTTTGCACCTCATTATATGCATTTTTTTTTAAACTCTCTTATGAAAAAACTTGTTTTTCTCCCTAAAACTCCCAAAATTATATGCAATATAAGAATCGCATATCCAAATATACCGCATAGTTAACAATTTATGCGAGCTTTCGTCTCATATATATTAACGCATATCTAAATCGCATACATAATATAAAATTATGTGAAACACGTTCTCATATTTATCTATCACTTATCCAAATCCACTACATAATTTACCATATGTGAGAAAGTTTCACATATTTAGTTATCACATATGCAAATCCACCGCATAATTTAACATATGCGTAGGGATGTAAATGGGTCGGGTCGGGTACGGGTTTTGGCAAACCCAGACCCGACCCGTATATAAATTACCCTACCCAAACCCGACCCGTTACCCGGTTAGTGATCTTCGGGTTCGGGTTGGGTTTTACCCGTCGGGTTAGCGGGTTTTCTTCGGGTAAACGGGTAACCCGAGTTCTTAAATTTTGGCTTTACACGACCCATCTCGTTTGATATGAAAAAATAAAATAAAATAATTTTACAATTAGTTATAATGTAACAAATAATTTATCAACTAAGTTTGACAATAAAAACTATAAAAAAAAAA